GTGTAAATCGTCAACGGGTATATACTTACAATAGTATATACTTCTTCCATGTACAGGAGTTCTGATAAACTTGTTTTTTCAGGTTGTTAGTGGCGTAAATCGTCAACGGGCATCAAATCCCGCATATCCATACAGAAAGGGCCGGTTGGGATATGCACGATTAGAACAAAAAATAGTAGGTACATATAAATGCTTTAATATGATATATTTACAAAAAATAGTAAGTATATATAATAGGATACAATGCTTTATTATTCTTCTTAATGCGTAGTTGGAAGAGGAGAAGAGTGATGCGACATCTCTTCCGGACCATGTTGTATGGAAGGCTTCCCGTGTGGGACGAGATGGAGTCGTTCAGGAAGAAGTTCAACAAGTCTTTGAACAATGTGTAAGTACAACGTTATCTTTGTCAGTAACTGATCAAAAGTGTGTAATATATTTATATATGTTTTTATCTATATTTCAGGAGACTCTGTCCCAGACCATAACTCCCGCCGAGGACAATGATTGCAGGAGCTTACTGAGCCGGGTGCTGAATATTCCTGAGTATTCTGGGCGTGTGAGGGGTAAGGGATTTGGTGTCACTCCATCCAAACTGTATAAGCAGTCAAAGAAAAAAAAATCCAACCAATAAAGAAGTGATGGAGACTTTGGAGGAATTAAAAGCGCAAATTCGTGAATTATAGAAAGATAAGGAGAGATACATGGCGGAAAGACGCGCTCCAGAGGGTAGAGCTACTAGTGACAAAGATAGTACCGGTTGTCCACAGAAGCTTCCAGAGGTAATTGTATATATTACATTGAAATTAATTTAGCACACTTTACTTAATTGACACATTAACTGATCATTATTTGTTTAGGGCATTTCACTTTGCCGGCTATATTTATCGTCACCTACTCATCGAATGGTTGGCAAGGGAAATGTGCATAACTTTCTGGGAGACTTACTTCACCACAAACCGCTCCCTTCTGGATTTTTGAAAGTATCTATTGATATTGCATTAGAGGGGAGTGCGTTGTTGCCTATACCAGATGATATTTCAGACGCAACAGTGGTGGGAGACGCAGTAGGATCGTATGTGGCATGGTCGGCAAATCTGATTTGCATAGATGATGAGGTAGGTTGAACCTTTTAATACTCAAATGTTTTATGATTCATACATGAAATTTATTCTTACATCTACATTTTCTTATTTACATGATGATCTTAGACTCCTACAAAATCCAAATCAAAAGATGATAGAATTATTGTGCGGGATACCGATTCAGCTGCATCAAAGAAACAGGTACTACTACAGTTACATGACTATCTTGTTATACAATATTAATTACTGAACTTATATATGACTTTTAGGTTCATGATCAACAGTCGCAACAAGTCAGCAAGGGTAAGATGCCTGAAACTTCCAAGGTTCCCAGAAAAGAAATTGTTCCTCGATTTAGGATGTGCCTTGAAACATATGTCGGAACATCAGATGTGCCTGAGGGTGGCGTCCGTCAAATACATATGGAGGCAGGTATTTTCGGTTTTGAATATCCCGAAACAATTGCTAAGGAGGATTTTGATCAGGTTTTCAACCATTCTGAACTGGGCGTCGGTGTTATGCATTCATACATCAGGTACTTCGATCCATTTTAATTAAATAATTGAACATTTTAAAATTTGCTCGTTTAACTTAATATTCTAATGTTGATTATGTTTTTTTAGGTTCTTGTATGACAAGTTATTGGTCCCGAATGAATTGACTTCAGTATTCGCATTCTTATCTGCTATATAACACTGGCCATGGGTTAGATTTTATTCTAAATTCATTTATTATAATTGTTCGATTTTTCCCTTTCTATATATATAACATTTCCGTCTAAACTGTTGTCTTATTTTATAGTGGACATTGGTTGTTGATCGCAATTAATCCGACGAAAGAAATAGTGTATTATATAGATTCATTGGATGGCGATACAACAAAATATGAAAATCTGAGGAACTTTGTTGATACGTAAGTGATGACATATACTGTTGTCTTTAATTATATATCTTTATTTATTATGTGACATTGTTCTAAATATGCGTTTATATTATGTTAGAGTTATACAAATATTCAGAGCACAAAGAGATGCAACTGTGCCAAAAAGTAAGGCTAACAACATCAACTGGATCAGAGTGGAGGTATATTCTCGCATGTTTCTACTTGATAAAACTATTTAAACTATATATCCGGATAAATGTTCGTTTGTTTTTTCCATTTACAGTGTCCTCGGCAGCGCAATGGTATTGACTGTGGATATTTTGTATTGCGCTTTATGAAGGAAATTATTCTTTCTAGTCAACTTGAGATTCCAGTCCTGGTATGGATCAATTCATTATATAAGTTATATGATTCATTTTGATAATTATCCGATACTTCATCTGAGTAATTATTTTTAAACTTAAATCTTATTCGATCTGTTATATTATGTAGTATTATGATGAATTCAAGTGCGCTACTTACACGAAAGGAAAATTGGAAGAAATTAAAGAGGAATGGTGTCAATTTATTCTTGGGTTGAGAATTGTATAGAGTTATCGGATTGGAAGACTTGTAATTATATGTGAATTGAATGTATTTGTGTTGTTGTAATTCTGAGGATCGAATTTTGTTGTAACATATTTAAACAGGTTTATGTGTAAATTAAAATGTTTATGAACAAAGTCATGAGTTACAATGTATCCAAAGTTTTGAATTGTACATATAAGGCCAAAGTTTGAATTGTATATTTAAGGCCAAAGTTTGAATTTTATTTATAAGGCCAAAGTGCTGAAATAAAGGCCTGAATTATAAGCAGGTTTGTGTAATATAAGCAGGTTGTTGGTAAAATATACAAAACAGGGTGAATATTTTATAAAAAAAAAATTTTAAAATCTGGGACATTAGACAGCGCTTTTACATAAAAGCGCTGCTAAAGGTCATAAATATTACGCTACAAAAGCGCTGCTATTGGTTTGGAAGGGGGGGGGGGGGGGGGTCTAAGGCAGCGCTTGTAAAAAGCGCCGCTAAAGGGTGGACTAAGGCAGCGCTTTTGCAAAAGCGCTGCTAAAGGGGGGGGGGTCTAAGACAACGCTTTTTGAAAGCGCTGCTAAAGGTGCTGCTGAAGGGAGCTTTTAGCAGCGCTTTTTCATTGAAAAAAGCGCTGCCTTTACCTTTAGCAGCGCCACTTTTGGCAGCGCTGCTAAAGGCCAAAAAAAGCGCGGCTAAAGGTCTTTTTTGGCATAGTGAATAATCTTCTTCAACACACAAACATGAGCAATGAAAAGAGAAAAATAATGAATAGGTAGATTCGATATTACCGTGTTAATAAGAGTTACTCGACCTCCTATTGAGAGTATTTTACTCTTCCAACAGGCAAGCTTAGCTTTGATTGTGTTTATGACAGGCCTCCAGAAACTGCTCGTTCGATGATTCCCGCTCACCGTAACTCCAAGGAATTTGAAAGGGACAACTCTCCTCTTGCAGTACAGAAACTTAGATGCTGAAGACAAGAAAGTTTCTTCAACATTAATTCCCAATATGATGCTTTTCCACGTGTTGATCTTCAGACCCGAAAAAATTTTAAATCCTCTAAGAATCGCCTTTATACCCCAGATATTATGACACTCTACTTTGCAAATCAATATGGTGTCATCTTCGAATTGAAGCAGATTATAGGTTACCTCATCACTCAGCTGTAAAGTTCTAGGAATCCCTACTTGAGCAGCCTTTCTAACCATAGAGGCCAATCCTTCTACAACCAATGAAAATAGAAACGGGGAAAGCAAATTGCCTTATCAAACCCAACCACTTCTCTCCCATTAATCAAAACAGATAGATGATTATTTAGTACCCCTCCCCTCATCAAACCCAACCACTTCTCTCCAAACCCCATGTCCTTTACCACATCGAACATAAAATCCCAGTCTAGCAAACGTAAGCTTGTTGGAAGTTAATTTTGAAAAAAAAGCAACTCGTATTCTTCCTCTTGACCAATTCAATCAGCTCATTCAGCACCATAATCCCATCATGAATTATCCTTCCCAGAATAAATGCATTTTGTGACTTAGATACAAGTTTTTCTATAACCTTTCTCAACCTTGCTGCAAGAATCATGGAATTAAGTTTGAAAATACAGCCAATCAAGCTAATTGGTCGATACTCACCTAAACTCTGAGGATTATCAACCTTAAGAATTAACGTAATGAAAGAGGAAGATATCTCTCTGAGAAGGCTAGCCGTAAGATGAAATTCCTTGATACACTCAATCACCTCTGCACCCACAACCTTCCAACATTTCTTTAGAAATTCTAAGTTGAAACCATCGGGTCTCGGGCTTTTGTTTCCATCACAATCACCTAACGCCTCCAAAATTTCCTCTGAAGTAAACCCACATTCTAAGCTTTCCTTTTCTTCCCAACTAAGCTTCGTAAAGTAATTCTGTCTCAGCTCTGGTCTAGCCCTTACCACCTTCTTAAACCTATTAGCGAAGTAACTCCTTGCAACATCTTTTACCAAACTCTCCTCTTCCACAAAACCTGACTCTAACTGAACCCTACTAATGTTATTCACCCTATATCTATAATTCAGAATTGAATGAAAATACCTTGAATTCAAGTAACCTTCCCTCACCCAATTCAATCCCGCTTTTTGTTTTAATATGCTTTCTTGGTTATGAAGTTTAGTCCATAACTCCCCTTGAGATTTGCTCCTATCTACCACTGCCTGCTGAAATGCTTCCCCACTTAACTGATCGAATTCCTCCTCATGCTTATTTAAAGAGTCCACACTTTTCTGAATATCTAAATCCACCCACCAATAAACCATCTTGTTCCACCATCTGAGCCTAGACCTCATATGTTTAAGCTTTTCTTTCACGACATGAGCTGCTGACCCCTTCACCATACAACTTTCCACTCTCTTATACAAACTCAAGGAACTTTTGATGGTTGTACCATGAATTGAATAACTTGAATGGTTTAGGACCCCAATTCCTCACGTTCGCTTTGATCCAACTTCTTGAGATAAAATTATCCATTTCAAAACCAAACCTTCAAAAATTAACATTCTGTCGATTCTACTTTTGCAGCATCCATTATCCTTAAACCATGTATATCTACTCCCTACCACAGGAACATTAGTTAACTCCATCATATCTATAAATGAATCAAATTCATACATATAAGCCCAACACACTTTTCTTGATCCCTTCTTTTCCTCTAAAGACTTAATTGCATTGTAATCCTCTCTCACCAACCATTCTCCTTCTGGAAGTTTTCTTTTCCACTCAATGAGTTCTACCCAAAACCTTCGTTTTCCACCCATATCACACAGTGAGTAAACATTAACAAAGTAACAGTTCACCGCTTTCCACACGACGTTAAAAACCAAAAGCCTAGTAACTTTGAAACTAAGAATTGGTTGAATCAAACTTACCCTCCAAACTGTGAGCATAGCACCAACACTACCCCTTGCACCAAAAGCTGACCAGCCAAATGCGACCTTACCCCAAATTGATTTTACATCCTCCTCCTTCAAATTCTGAATTTTTGTTTCTTGAATAAAGCACATGTCTGTTTTGCCCTCCTCTATTATTTTTGTGATCCTTCTTCTTTTAATTGATCTCCCACACCCTCTATTGTTGTACGAGACTACATTCATGGTTCACTTGTAGTTGTCACCCGCTTTTCTAGAAATGCTAACATATGGAATTCCCCATGATATTCCTTTGTAATCAATCAATAGTGAATTTGTTTTTAGAATAACCATGTATTTCAATTAAATTACCACTTAAATGAGAGATTCAAAAAAAATTTCAAATCAACTACATTTCAGCATGCAGTCGCCATATGATTTGGCGACACATGCAAATTTGAATTTGAGCTTTAATGTAGTCGCCTATTCATTTGGCGAGTTGGTCCATGCCATTTTTTTTTAATTTTTTTTTAGGGTTTACGCATTAATTAATGTTTTGATAATTAATTTTAATTATTATTTTTATAAAAAATATTAAATTATGTATTAATAAATATTTTTTATAAAAAAAATAAATGGAACAAATATTAATTTATGTTTTTTTATTTTTCATAATTTATTGAATTTTAAATAATGTTACAAAATAAGAAATGAAATAAATATTAAATTATAGTTTATGTTTTTCATAATTAATTGAAATTTAAATAACATTAAAAAATATAGACATGTAATAAATATTAAAATATATTAAATTATAATATAATGAAAATTACAATTGAACAAAAAAACAAACTAATGGCCGGCTCTATCCAAGCGACCACCAGTGTAAAATTGTGGAGGATGCGCGTTGCGACGAGGTTGTTGTAGCGTGTCCGGTCTTTGTGTGTTGAGTTGTGGAGGAGGGTTTTGTTGGGACGGCCCCGACGTATCAGATAAATTTTGAATCATTTGACCCCAATAGCCGGGAGGTCCACTATCAACGACGCTTCCGTAGTTAAGCCTAATGTCCATGTTTTCGTAGGATTGTCGGGGAGGTTGGGTGGAGTATGGATGGTATGGTTGTCCGAATTCGTACATCGAATTGGGTTGGAAATGGTGTAACACCCCCTTTCTATACCCCCAAATAATCACATAATCAACTAGTCACATATTAAAAATTTCATCAGAGTATAATTATAAACATGGTATAAAAGGGGCGAGTCACATTACGCATGAAATTAAAATATTCAACACCTGCTCAACAATAGATATGCAACAATGGGGTAACTTCGCAACAGAGAAACTCGGTCCTTATATATATATATATATATATATATATATATATATATATATATATATATATATATATATATATATATATATATATATATATATATATATATATATATATATATATATATATATATATATATATATATATATATATATATATATATATATATATATATATATATATATATATATATATATATATATATATATATATATATATATATATATATATATATATATATATATATATCATCCAGAATTATTCAACAACATAAGTCATATTTTCATAAACATTCACCAACAAGATACATATACAAATGTATTACAAAAGAATCATGAACATCCTAGCTACCCGGTGCTATATATCAAAGTCGACCGACCAAAAGAATGAAGACACCCATCACAAAAAGACCTCCAGCAAACCTACTATGCCATGCCTCATAGAGCACCATAAAACAGCAGAAGGGTGAGAAATATTATCATAACAACAATGCATATAATTATATATACCATAGCATAAAATACACATATTCTGCATTCTCACCACAATTCATCACAACACACTCCTATACATCACAATGTATATATATATATATATATATATATATATATATATATATATATATATATATATATATATATATATATATATATATATATATATATATATATATATATATATATATATATATATATATATATATATATATATATATATATATATATATATATATATATATATATATATATATATATATATATATATATATATATATATATATATATATATATATATATATATATATATATATATATATATATATATATATATATATATATATATATATATATATATATATATATATATATATATATATATATATATATATATATATATATATATATATATATATATATAAATCCAAGCATATTCATCATGCATACTTCCACAATTCTATCATTCCATATAAATATACACATTCATGTTTATTCACCAATGCACCATTATAAAGATGATAAATGCAAATCATAGAGACCGACTCACGACTCTATGTGTAACGCCTCGATTCTGAATTCCCATTTTTATTGAGTCCTTATTTGATTTATTTTAGTAATTATTTTATTTACGTGGAATTTGTATGATAATATGTTATGTTTACATATTGAGCTATTTTTGCTGACTTTGGCAGTTTCGGGTAAAAATAGGTTGGAGGGTATTTTAGGCAGTAGGGATAATATTAAATGGATATTTTGTGAGAATTATTTGATAAGTGTGTGTAAAGAATTTGGGAGGAAAGAAAATAGAATATGTGATATAGATAGAAAAGAGAAAGATAGAAACATTAAGAAGAAAAATAAGAGAAAGAAAAGAGGAGGAGAGAAAACAAGAGAAAGTGGAACAAAACCTAGAATCATCAAGAATCAACCTTAGCTTGCGATTAATCAGGTAAGGGTGAGAAGTTTTATCATCTTAATAATGTATATGATCATGTATGTGCTAGATTGGGTTTGTTGGATCGTTTTCTATGTTTCCATTTCTAGGTCGGAAGTTGATTTATTCGGTAGAAACTGAGTTTTATCAGTTAGAATTTGGAATAGACGGTGTAGTATAGTCGAGTGATGAGTGGGCCGTGCTACTGGAACTGATTTGGATTAAATCGGTCGGTTTGTGAGGTTTGGGCTTTTGGACAGCCATGGGAGTTCTGAGTTCGCAGGTTCGATAGGCGAATGGCAGCGAAGCTTCGCCAGGCGAAGCCCAGCGAGCAGCAGCGAACCAAGTCAGTAGCAACCATCCTGTCTTCACTGGCAAGTTCGCCAGGCGAATGGGTATGGTGAAGGTTCGCCAGGCGAGTGTGCTAGCGAGTAATTCCAGAATAACTCCCAGTGGTCTTCGCTGGCAAGTTCGCCAGGCGAACGAGGTAGCAAAGGTTCGCCGGGCGAAGGTTAGCGAACACAACAGCATATTTTCTTTTCTTGTGTTTTCCATTCGCGGATTGGTAGTGTGGTTTGGTTGCGATCATTCCTTGTCTGAGATGACTAATTATATGCTGTTATGTGTGTTGTGGGTAGTCGTATGGCGTCAATCCTAATTTGTGATTTGTGAGGTGTGAAATATGGCAGTTTGGCAATTTTGTGTATTTATTTGAATTAAATAGAAATGCATGGCGGTATTGATTGTGAATGTGAACCGAGATTGATTGTGAATGTGAACCATGTATAAAAATTGGTTTGAATGGATGGTAAATATATATATATATATATATATATATATATATATATATATATATATATATATATATATATATATATATATATATATATATATATATATATATATATATGCTTTGTGATACATATATTTGAATGCATAACGAATGTATGCGACGAATGTGATGAATGCATGAGTATGTTTGTAAACATGTATGCATTTCAAGAGTGTCATGAGTCATGTTGCATGTGAAGCATCATGGTATGCATTCTTGTGATGATTGATTCCTCGGTGAATCTGCAGAACCCCGTGTGCCCTTGTGGGGTGTGAGCGATGGTTATATATTGATTCCTTGGTGAATCTGCAGAACCTCGTGTGCCCTTGTGGGGTGTAAGCGATGGTTATTTATTGATCCCTCGGTGGATTTGTAGAACTTCGTATGTTGCGATGGTTATATTTGATTCCTCGGTGAATCTGCAGAACCTCGTGTGCCCATGTGGGGTGTGAGCGATGGTTATTTTGGTTCTTCAATTGAACCTGCTGAAATGAGTCGGTACCCGCATTTGCATCTGCATAGAGTCGTGTGTCGGTCTCTATGAGTTGCATGTTGACATCTGTGCATGATGTATGGTGAATAAACATGAATGTAGATGTTTATGTAAATTGTTGATAATTGGCATGAATGAAAGGCTTGAAGATACATGTATGTGTGAATATATATATATATATATATATATATATATATATATATATATATATATATATATATATATATATATATATATATATATATATATATATATATATATATATATATATATATATATATATATATATATATATATATATATATATATATATATATATATATATATATGTATAAGTGTGTATGTTTATGAATTGATATAAACATTGTTGATGCATATTGTATATGCTTGGTGCTCTATTTGTAAATAGTTAATTGTGAATACATTGCGATGTACGGTGTAGTGAAATGAGTTGCGGTGAGAATACGGAAGACGTTTTTGGATGTTATGTGTGTGTGTTTGTGTGTGTGTGTGCGTGTGTGTGTGTGTGTGTGTGTGTGTGTGTGTCTATATATATATATATATATATATATATATATATATATATATATATATATATATATATATATATATATATATATATATATATATATATATATATATATATATATATATATATATATATATATATATATATATATATATATATATATATATATATATATATATATATATATATATATATATATATATATATATATATATATATATATATATATATATATATATATATATATATATATATATATATATATATATATATATATATATATATATATATATATATATATATATATATATGTTTATGTGCATTATGTATTATGATATTGTTTCTCACCCTTCTGGTGTTTTATAATGCTCTATGAGGCATTGCAGATTAGATTGCTGGAGTCTTTGTGAAGCGAGTCTTCATTTCTTTTGGTCAAATGGCTCTGATATGTAACACTGGGTAGTTAGGAATTGTTTTGATTCTTTTGTGATACATCTGTGTATGTATCTGCTACTGAATGTTTTGTAAACTCAACTGATGAATTAAATTAATCTGAACGATGTATATGATGCTTATGTTAATGAAGTGATTTCAATGTTTAGATGTTTCCGCTTTATTCTAAATGTTG